TTTGTTTTTTTAGCAAATTTTTAAATGTCAATAGCTTTATAATTAATGAACAAAATTTAATAATTTTTTTTTTATTTGAAAGACAAAAATGACTATTTTCATTTAAAAAAAATCTGTACAAAGTTACACATAGATTGTCATTTTACAGAGCCAGTGACAACTTTTCAAACGCCCCACGTAAAAGATAATAATATACTTACTTTATCAATTAACATTAACTTTTGCTTTTTAAAAATTTAGAAGGTAAAATAAAACAAAAATGTCACAAGTGTCATCAGCAATGTCATTATGTTCTGAGAAGTTAACACTTTGGATTCTTGTTGGAGGTGATCCAGGTCCTACACAATTTCCTGTTGAATGGAACACCTCACCACCAAACTTGGACAATCTTGCATGTAAACTTCGTAAAGAAGAAGATACCTTCAAAAACATTAAACCAAAACTCCTCAAATTCTTTAAATATGATGACAGGATCAACCCTCTCTGAAAAGGTACTCTTGTCACAAATTTGAGCACAACTGATGCAAGTCCTTTGGTTGTATGTTACCCATTCTCTAGTTCTGAAGGTAAAATAAAATATTTTTATCTTTTTGATTTCAAATATATACACCCATCACATTTACACCTGTATATTGTTTGTAGTCATAGTTCATTGCAACTTATCTGTATCCTGGTTCAAGTGTAGATTTCTACACACAAGTGGCCTTTGGTGTCTTCTATGTCACAAAGCTGAAACAAACTTTGAAACTTTGAGAGCAGGAAACCCTTCATATTTTTTTATTTATAAAAGAAGATAAAAAGAAAACACTCAATAAAATAGTGGAGAAAATTAAACTGAATGAAAGTGGTGAATATGAGATCAGTTTTTCAATTTGAATTCAAGGTTGGTTAATTTTTTTTAAATTAGATGCAGAAGTGAAGTGAATACTCATTTGTTTTCTTTACATTATAGGAAAGAAGGCATATGGAGAATGGGAAATAAGTGAAGTTTTTGAGAAGTTACTGCATAAGAGTGGATCATCAGTAGGTGACATCAATCAGTTTGACATAGGTAACATTCTTGCAATGTTTTCTTATTTTGGATTATTTATCAGAGTGATTTATAACCTACATGTGTGCTTTTTTTTTGAACAGAAAAATTTACATAACCAGATCCAGAAATTTCTGATGATATAGTTAATTCCTTTATTGGTGAACTCAAGAAAAAAAAGACCTTTATTCACATTAATCGTAATGAGAGCACCTGCAGAGAGTTTATTTCTGCTTTTATGACTGCAGCTGTTGAACATGTCCAGTTAAAAGAAAGTAAACTTTGTCTCAAGAGTGAAGAGTAGCTTGATGGAAGTCATGGTTTTGGTCCTGTTGAGTATTCTGTACATCTTGAGGAATTTGTTTTATTTGTCTGTGAAGCTAAAAAAAAGATAATTTTGAGAAAGGTGCTGTCCAGAACATTGTGCAAATGCATAGTGCTGTGGAAGTAAATGAAATATTGTACATACTATATTCTGTTTTTTATTGTTTGCTTATTGACATCTAACATTCCATTTTCAGAAAATAAACAAAAAGCAAAAGGATAGATGAGACAGATATGGAACCTGAACCTCAAGTACAAATATATGGTATTGTGACTAACTAATGAATATGAAAAGGCAATTGATTTTTTAGAAAAAGGTTGTAAATGTGGTTGCTCTTCAAGAATTCCCAAGGAAGTTATTTGCAGAATTACATGAATCCTTTCAAGCTCTTTCCAAGTCTGAACAAGACATATTTTTGATGGCCCAACTTAAGACAATGGGTAGCAGGTCAATAAGCACTAGTAGGTGCCTTAAAAAGAAAACCATATCTAATAAAAGAACTTCTACCATTGGGATCACAATACACTCCTTTGTCAACAAACTTATCTCAATATGTTGGGAATTGGTAGGACTTATTTTGAAAATATCAGAAATCATCTGATAAACAATGGTCTTCTACCAAGAGTTCATGGTAATATTAAAAGGATGCCTCAATGGAAAACAAAGATGATGATTGATAAAAATGTTGCTGAAATTGTAAAGAATTTTCTGGAAAATTATGCAGAAGTTCATGGATTACCAAGTCCAGGAAGAAGTAACAATAGAATAACTCAATCAGTTATATTTTTACCAGCAGAAATGAGTTATAAATCAGTACACAGAGATTTTCTAGCTGGTTTGGAAGAAGATAACAAATTGAAATTTTTAAAATATGATGCTTTCAGAAAGTTATGACATAAATTGTCACCAGAAATTCAAATCATGAGTCCAAGGACTCACCTGTGTGATACTTGTCAACATTTTGAGATGGTTTATATTATAATGTTTGTCAAGAGGGAGAAGCTAAAGTTTTGCTCAGAAAATTTAAAGAACATCTGTCCAAGGCTAAACTAGAAAGAAACTATTATAATAAAAATAACAAATTAGCAGAAGAACAAAGAAAATTAGTTAATCAAAATTATTCAAAAGGTAAAACACAATATTGCAGCATTGATGCTACTGCTCATTATAGTTATGATTGAGCCCAAAATGTTCATGTACTACATTTAGATCAACAAGTAAGTAAAATCTATTACCTTAATCCATGTAAAGTTCATTTATTTGGTATTCAAGATGAAGCAGTAAGGGAACAAATCAATTATGTTCTTAATGAAGATGAAATTATAGGTAAAGGACCTAATGGCACTCTCAGCATGATTTTTGATGGAATTAAGAAACTGAATAAAGGTGAAAAACATTTAAAGATTACTTGTGATTAGAGTTGCTTTTCTAAACTCTAACCTCTTTTCTAAACTAGTTTAGAAACCCTAAACTACTTTCGAAACTCCACTGTTTTCAAAACTCCTAAACTGATTTTATGACATATGATGTGTAACCATGATTATTGACCAAAGTTTTTATCAAAGTTCATTTTATTTTGATATTATTATCCTGACAATTAATTCATTGGTTTAGTTTAAAAATATTATAATTTTCTTGTTTGTTCTAATATAATTTTTCCTCTTCTTAAAAATATATAAATTTTTTTAATCACAATAATGTCAAAAAATACTGATGTTGATATAAATAGTTCATCAAATTCAAAAAAACTTGGTGGATGACCAAAAAATACAGTTTGGCAACATTTTGAATGTTATCCTTCAATCCAGGACATTTTGGAGCCAAATGCAAACCATGTAATTGTGAATGGAGTAATAGAGTTGTTAATAAACTGCAAGTCCATTTGGCACATGAATGCGAATACATTAAAGAAGAGATCAAAAAAAGATATATGTATATTGTTGCAGAAAGAGATGGTGTAAGTGAATCTTTAGAAAATACAGCATATAAAGCAAATACACAATCACTTGCTAATTTTTGGGATAAAGATGAGATATTATCAAAAGAACATGCAGGAATTATAGATCATTCAACTTTAAAGGCTTTTGTGGTTTGTGGTATCCCCTTTAGGATAGTTGAAAACCTTTTTTTCATCAACATGTTAAAAACTTCAGATCAAATTATAAACCTCCTTCATGGGATTGTCTTAGTACTAAATTATTATCAGATGAAACTGTTTGTGTGGATATAAAAATTAATAATATTTTAGAAAAGGCTAATAACTTGACATTGGGTATGAATGTTTTTTATTTTATTAAAATTATTTGTTTGGTTGTAGTTTTTAGGAGTTTCAAAACAGTTTAGGAATTCGGGCTCATTTTTTAAACCAGTTTAGAATGGTTTTAATTTCAAATAGTTCTAAACTCGTGAGTTTCAGAAGGCAACTCTACTTGTGATAATGCTGTGGACAAAATAAAAATAATGTAACAATTTGATTTTATTTATATTTGGTAATTTGTGGTTATTACAAAGTATTGAATTAAATTTCATGGTTCCAGGACATACCAAATTCAAATGTGATGGTAATTTTGGCATGATTAAAAAATCTATGGAAAAACAAGAGTAGATTGTCTGGGTCATGTAGTTGAGGTGGTGAAAAGATCTAGTCCAGCAGGATTGAATAAAATTCAATACTATGAAGGTGAAAAAGGTTTTCAATACTTAGATATCAAGTCTATTTTGGGAATTTATTTTAAGAAGCTAAATGGCTTGCAAAGATATCAACATTTTCTTTTTGAAACATCTAATCTTGGTACAATGAAAGTTCAAGAAGTTGCTAATGGATCTTTTGCTGAATTCAATTTATTGAAAACCAAGAAAGCAGAAATTTTTGAAGAGATTGAAGCTTTATCTATTTTAGTTTTAACACCACCTCCTTTGGATTATAAGGGGCAAGAATATCATAATATTCATCCATTTGTTAGAGATGAATTTAAAGATATTACTTGCCCAAGACCAATCTATACTGGCAACGAACAAAATATTTAGGATAAAATCACCTCTAATGACTTCATCACTTGTTAATTTATCCCTCACTGTCATTAAGTTTAAGAAGTTTAATCTTTTGACAAATATTGTTAGCTTTTTCCACTTTTAAAGCAAAGAAGTACTAAAATAATTTATATACTTAATATACCCTCATAAAAAGGATATAAGTATATTAAATAAATAAATAAAAAAAAGAACAAGCAAGTAAATCATGAAAAACATAATAAATGAACAACAACAAGCAAATAAAGAACTATTGAACAAAATTGCTGATTTAGAAAAGCAGTTAGCTGATAAAGATCAAGAAAAAGAACAATCAAAGGAGAGCTTAAATTAAAAATCTGGCATGTTACTGGTCAGTCTATTGATGACAAAGGCGAAGTTAGTCTTTATGCTCCAAGAGGAACATGATGATACAAAAAGTTAAACAAAAAATGAATGGATGAGGGTAAATCGAGAATGGCAGTAGATCCTAATGAAACAAGAGAGTGAGCCAAGAATTGCAAAAGTTGACAATATCACCATTGAAGAAATGTTAGAGGGATTTCTTGATAGTTTAAATCAACTAGGTTCAAAATGCTTAGAATATCTTGGTTGGTATACAGAGAAAGGCCACCAACTTGCTGAACAAAAGCAAGAATATGAAGAGAAAATTAAGGTATTAGAAGATGAGAAAAAGGAGTCAGAAGAAGCATTAGAATTAGAGGAGGAAACATCTGAATGTCATTTAAAGGCTCTTGAAGTAAGGTTGCTCGCCGAAACCTCTTAGTGACTGTCAAAACTCTGTCAAAACTCTAATGAACAATTAGTATATACCTTGTCAAAACTCTGATGATTGACAAAACCCCCAAATGCGAAACTCTGCCAAAACTCTAATTAACAATTAATGTGTAACCTGTCAAAACTCTGTTGATTGATTTCTGGAGAAGTTTCTCCCACAACCTTATCTTGAAGTAGCTAAACAGTGGAAAATAAGACAAAGTAAAGAAAAAGATGATAACTTAGAAAAAGCTTTGAGAAAAATAGAAGTTATAGAAAATATTGTGGCATGACAGAAATATTTGGCAGACAAGCAGCTTCAAGAACTACCAGTTTTACCAAAGAAAGAA